TTAAGGTGACTACGCCCATCACAATCCTAAAGAAGTTAACCCACATTGAAGGGGAAAGAGCTTCAGTTGCATCAACACTTCCAACAACAGGGGATTGAGGGGGAAGGTCAACCCTCCCTCCATGATGGCCTTCGTCCAGAAAGGCATCATGTCCACATTTTCCATATCCTTCCTATGGTGAGTGGGGTTGAAGGGGAAAGCGAAGACAGGCTCACGGATGTGGTACCTAACCCTAAAGGCTTGAATATTCCCATCGGTCACTTGGATTCTCCTCATCTTGTGGGTAGTCCTAGTCCTAACAGACGTCTCCCCCTTGGTTCTACTAGTTCTAGTCATTGGTGGGCGCTAAAAGGACAAAATGTAGTGGAAATGAAGAGAGAAAAAGCTCAAGTGGAAGTACTTATAAGAAGGTGGTTTTCAAAGAGAGAGCTTGGAGGACGAAGGAAACTCGGAGGAGAAGAGAGGAGCACTCGGGGTCTGATTGCTGAAGAGAGGTTGAGGATGCAAAAGTTCTGAGAAGGTATGAAAAACTTCTATTTATACTGCCTCACAGGGAGCGAGAATCGAAAAGTTGGGTCATCATTAGAACATTTAAAAAGGGCGGCACCAGACGTGCAAGTAACCATCGCTATTAATAAAGCGTGATAAGGGAGCCCCCAATCCCTTTACGCCACTTGTCTTACATTGCGAAAAGGAAAGGATGGTGGCTGGGGAGCAGTTTACGGGACTTTAGGTGGCTCTATAGCCTCCGGGTCGACACATGGAATAACGAAGCCGTTGGGATGTCCAAAGGGCGTCGAGGAAGTAAGTCGAGGTATGGTGACATTGAGCAGCCGGGTACGACAACTGACATTGTATTTAATACGATGTGACCTCTCGTTTATGGCGGAATGAGTGAAAGTGACAAGGCAAATAAATGCGAGCCTGCCAGCACCTGCCCTCTGGGAGTCTAAGCCTACTGTCATGATGGCTAAGCATTAATGGCTGATGCGCCGAAATGACGTGATCGGCTCCCCCGAGGAACTGTTCCCCCTGAGTATTCAATGCTTAGTTGATGTCGGATGCCGATCTGGAGGATTTGGGTACTCGGGGAGGCATGAATGCTCGACATTTGGCCGAGCATTTACCCCATTTTCCTAGCATTCAATAGGAGGAGATGTGAGTAGAAAACACTCATTGCACGAGAAATGGTGTGTCAGATGTAAGATGTTCAGATGAGACTGGAGATATTTGACAATCATTGTTAGTTCAGGTATAAATACTCCTCAAAAAAATGGATAAAGGTACGCAAACTTGAATTAGAAAAAATATTCCATTGAGCAAAACCCTTCGACTTTATACTGACTTAAGCTTCGGAGAGGATTAGCCGGGCGCTCGCCTGGCCCCCTTTTTTCTGACCTTGTTTGTTCAGGTTTGCCAGCTTGGAGATCACTGTCTCATACTATTACAGGAATTATCCTGTGCAGTAAGTACCTTTAAAGTTGGTGGAGAGAGTGGGGGAGAGAGAGAGGAGGATGGGGATGAAGAACACGAAGAAGATGGAGAGGGAAGCCATTGTAGGGAGAAAGAGAGAGAGGCGGCAATGGTGGAGCTCAAAGTAAAAATTGAAGGAAAATGCCCAGTTGTCCACAAGGAAGGAGAGGGAGGGAGAGTCAAGTGGAGGGCAACGAGCTTTTCCCCAAATTCATGCCCCCTCAAAACTTAATTCTCAAAATCAATCACTTTTAAACTTAATTCTCAAACTCAGTCTTTTTTTAAAAACGTAATTTGAAATAACGTATTTTCACCTAAAAACGTCATTTGAGATAACATTTTGAAGTTTAAATTTTTTCTCTGAAAACGTCATTTCTAATGACGTTTTTAAAGTCGTCATTTAGAATGACGTTTTTAAACATAATTTTTGTAAACGGCAGTAATAAACGTTAAAAAATTACAAATGGATGAAAATGTCATTTAAAATAATATTTTTAAAAATTTAGGGGTTGAAAACGTCATTTAAGAAAACCTAGGTAAATGTTTTAAAATTTTTTTACCCTCTCTTAGTCCAGTCTCAGTCCAGTCGGTCTCTCCTCTCTCACAGATCGGTCCTCCCTCCTCCAACCCGTCAGCCCACTGTCTCGGATCGATCGATCTCTCCTCCTCCTCCTCCGCCTGCAACCACTGTCTTCTCTGACGAAACCAGACGACTCAGTCCCTGTCCGACGAATCCAGCTCCTGTTCAACTCTATTAGCTGCGGCTGGGGTTTCAGACCAGACCACTCTCTTTATCTGCTACGTTCTCATCTTCAGAAAGGTTAGAACTACGATTTGTGTTTTGATTTAAGGATTTGTTGGTTATATGGTTTTGGTGGGTTTTGTTCTTGAACGAATTGATTTTTTACCCGTCAAATTTTGTGTAATATTTCTGTAATTTCATGTTGATTGTGTAGATAAGTTTGCTACGGTTTGTCAATGTGATGTGCTACTTCATAATCTCTTTACAGTGTGCTGTAAAGTGTCGATATGTCTTGTTTTGGCTTTGTTTATATGGGAGTGCATTCAACTTTTTTGTCAGAGTGCGGAACCTTATGATTCTTGACAATGTACCAGTTCAAACTTATCAGATTTAGCGTACTTATAGGCGGATCATAATCGGGGGATGAAAGACTTATGCTATTTGTTTATTTTATTGTGAAAGTTCTAGGAGGGTCGGAAAATTGTGTTGATAATTTAAGCAGGTAAGGATTCTTTCTCTCACATTCTTCTTTTATTCTTCCTAGTTTTCTTTTATTGAATTTTCTTTGATTGTTTAGCTATTATGATGCTTACTCTGTAGTACTCCCACCGTTATTCTTTCACATTTTTCTTTCTGATTATCCACAACTAGCTTCTTTTTTATTTTGTAGTATGCAATAGCTTGCCCATATCCTCTATTTACTTACATTGATTTATCAAGAGCACATGCAGCATGTGCAGTGTCTATACATGTTCTGGCCTTGAATTTGGTAAACTTTACAACAGGTTCATGCAGAGTGGTACAACCCCTTATTTCGGAGTTAATATTACTATTTTAGATATTAAATGTTTAGAAGACTCCTGCATGTTGCTTGTTGCTTTTGATATTAAATGTAAGAATTGATCCATGTAGCACCCACTACATGGTGATCAAAATTCCAACTAATTCCAAATTTTAGCTTCACAAGTGCACAGTTTGTTTTTCCCCTTTGTTCCCATGGTCTTGTTTGTAATGTAGGAATGGAGAGCTAGGCTACTTATGGAACAACTTTACACCCACTAAATGTTTGTTGTCATCCCACTTTAGGGAACAATATCTATGGAGATGATGTAAGGTAAACCCTCCTAAGATTGCAGAAGGAAGGGACTGATGCAAATGCTGCTTACATCCTGATGCAAAGAATTTTTCCAAACATATTTCCTGCTATTCTGACGAGGAATGGCATCTGTCATAAAGATCATGCCATATCAGAACTTGGTATATATGGTGCTTATCTAAGGTAACAAGAGTGTGTCATTGCTCCCACAACCAATGAATTTTTCATGCACCATAACTTTTATTTTTCACCTGATTATAAATGGCCAACCACTCACTTCGGCAAGGAGCTCCATAGAAAATTAGAGTAACCTTTAATAAAATATTACATTAGATTTTTCTTGGAAATCCACCCAAACTAGTATCTTGTGTAAATATCATTGTATCCTATATGATACAGTTAACAAGGCATGCGTATTGACAATGTGTATTGTGGCTAACAAGGCATGCGTATTCAAATCCTGTGGGCAATCTATTTGGGTGTTGCCTTGGTGGGTGGTGTTGCATGTGTGTTGCTTTTGGCCTTTACAGGTGTTGTGTGCAAGTGTAGTCTTTGTATGTGTTAATTCTATGTTGCTTAAACTTAAATCAGTAAATTTATTTTGTTATATTTGTTTGTGGCAGGTGTGGAAGGAAGATTGTCTTGTGTGTTACTAAATTGTGGCAGTTTTGTTGCTCCATCAAAAAGAAAAACAACTCGGAACATGATTTTTTTCTTAATTTCTTGTATCTAAAGTTGTGTATATTTTAAATACAACTCAATTGCTGAATTTTTTTCTTTTGGAATGTAAACTGTATTCACACATTCATGTGTGCAAATATGTCAAAATGTACAATTCAAGCAGCTTGAAGTTTTTATTGATCCCAGATCCTTGTCCAACAGACTTGCCCCTTTTTGAATATGCTGCAGTTGAAATAAGATTTTACACTGGGCTACCCTTTTTTTCGTTGAACAACTTGAGAAAGTGTTTAACATCATTTTGGTACATAGAAACATAACTACAGGAAATGAATATTGCTTTCTCAGAAGAGAGGATCAGTCGATATGCTGAGACTAGCATTTTAGAATTTAATTCTGTTTTCATGATAATTTTGAACTTATTTTATAATCGAAAATAAAATTCATAAAAGCATAATTTTTTTTTCTTCAGAAAATACCATTTTATTTATTAATAAAGCAGCAATTACAAGAAGCAAAGGAAAGGCATATATGCCTTAACAGAAAACAACTCAAAAATAAGGCACACCCGCCTATCAAAGCAAACAAAATACAGTCCAAAACAGTAAGCTCCCAGACCAGTATATTCATGGCAGTCACCCTCCTCATAAACCCTTTTCTTCCCTTTCAAAATGTTTCAAACAAATCAGCACTTTATCAAGTGCAGATTTCAGTAAAAACATGGCAATCAGCCCTTATCATCAAACATAAGCCTTTTCTTTTTACGCAAAATCGGTAATCCATTTGATCATTACGCAGAGCAGACCTAACCTCGCTAGGAAGCTGCAAATGAATCGAAGAAACAGTAGATCTCCTCTCCAGCACAGCTTGATTTGCAAGCCTATCAGCAACATTGTTAGGCCCCATGAAAAATGTGCTTCAGTTGATAGTTCAAATCCCCTAATAACTCTTTAATCTGTCTTAAATATTCCAGGCAAGACCAGGGGCAATCAGAAACCCCCAAAACAGAATTTACCAAAACCAGGGCGTCACTTTCTTGAGAAGATTCACAAGTTTGACTTCCCCGTATTCTGAAATGTAAAGAGGCCTCCCAAAAATTTTCTGGTACTCAGCATGTACACGAGTAAGAGACAGACATCCTCCTGACAGTTCAAGCAACTTTACCAGCTGCCCCTTCAAACCATTTATATCTCCAGGCTGTACCCACATCAAGTCATTCTGGTCACAAGAAGCAACAGGTCCGACTGAAACTTCATTCAAACCAGAAGGGAGACTATGTGATCTCAAAGTTGTAGGAAAACAAGGCATGGATATTGAAGTACTATTGCATTCGGATAAAGACTGTGATATGACCATTTCACCCATATAGTCTTCAAGATAACATTACAAGAGAATTTAATCTGCAACCAATCAAGAAAATCTTTTCCACCAGAATCATCAAGGGCTTTAGGTTTTACATTCCTAACTTGATACCGTAAAATACTGCATATCCTTATAAAGACAGAATAAGAATTTAATATCCCCTCACCTGCTAGTCTTCGACATCTTTCTTTCCATAATTGCCAAAAGATAAGCAAAGGAATACTTCTAAATAAGCTGAAGTATTGGGGCATTAAGCTGAATTATATGCAACAACTAGAGCGTGGCCAATCTATTTTCTCTGTACATCCAATGCCGAGGAGCACCGACGAATATTACCTTACCTTGAGTGACAATTATCAATAGAACAATTAAAAATTGACCAATACATACTAACCAATACATATGCATCTAGTATAACAACAGAAAGCAAATGGAGCATACCAACCAAGCTCTCTGCATATTTCGCATGCGCAAGCTTCGCCTCTAGAGGATCTTCTCCATGACAGACCCATCTAGGAAAGTGATGGGACATTTTTGAAATACTCCAAGATGAAGACACGTGTCCTCGGTGTCACTAATCCTTGTTACTGAGATCACGTACCCATCGGTTCACAAGTCCCTCTCCCCCGAGGTATTTGTCATAAGGATCAAGTGGCATCCAGTATGTTTACGTACTGACACGTATCCCTCGGTCTGATATAGTACATCGGTCGCTATATGCACCCCCCATCTCGGCTCCGAGATGTACCAATCCCCCTCGGTACCGATATGTACCAACGTCCGGCATTCTCTTCTCCTGCAGAGCTACTGATGTACAGGTCACTAGCCTAGGCTAGGTTAGCTATCATGACCTCGTCTTACACAATTGGTGTCAGAAGGCACAGGAAGACATGGGACACAACCAATGGGGAATAGACGCGTGGCATATTGTGTCATATTAGAGACAGAAAGACCGCATGCCCTTGCTGACACACGACTTGAGAAAGCAAGCATTTAATTACACCATTCCCTTGATGAGACTGCATTCAATGCGGTAAGGCTCAGAAATGAAAGGCAATAAATGTCTCTAAGGCTGGACATTTATTACATCCTCCCCGAGAGGAGCTCATTGAACAGTCGGCAGGCCGATGACTCAGCCTTGGTTGCTCGGGAGCCCGAGCAGTTAAAAGAGAAGACATTCCTCATAAGAAACCGTGCACACGTTGTCTGTGCCTAATGATCACCTACTGGCCACACTGACAGCAATCATGAGTTTTTGAGGTATAAATACTCATCGCAAAAGGCAAGGTGGGGGCAACAAAAAACCTTTGCTACAAATTATACTCAGTGTTTTCTTCTTCCTCTCTCTCAAAAACTGACTTGATCGTCGGAGGGGATACGCCGAAAAACACTCCGGCGCCCTTCTAACTTGTCTTTCTTTGTTCCAGGAACCTTCCTCAGCCTTACTGGATCGTTCTATTGATCCACGAGGGTCTCCCATTACCGTTCCAGGTTACCACCAACCTCACAGGCTGTTCCAAGCAGCAGGGTTGACCATTCGACTGACTCACTCGAGTTCACCAAGGGAGAGATCTGTTTCGTGTTTATATTGTGCAAGATCCAGCACGCACAATCTGGCGCCGTCTGTGGGAAACGACTAGTTTTCCTAGTTTCTTCTCTATAAAGAACAGTGACCATGGTGAATACTCGACAAAAAGGGAAAGGTCCCCAGCAAAGAAGTCTCGAATTACAAGCTCCATGTCACCATGGAGGGAGGGATCACACTGATGGGAATAAAAATGCCTCTATTCAGTCAAGAGGGGTTACCCCTCAAACCAGTATGGGCATCAGGTCAGGCGGATCCGCCCCCTTGGCTCGTCAACTGGCGGAGGTGATCGAAGAAAAGTTTGGGGATCGATTACGACAGTTGGAAAAGGACAATGTGAACGTCCTAAGTCGGCTCAACGAATTCGCCGATCGAGGGACTCATTCCTTTCTCGTGGGCTCCCCGCCCGGGAGACGGAAACGAAGGATCTAAGGAATCATCTAAACAACAAGGCAGAAAGCTCCAGGGCCCCAAAGCGACCGAGAGCCAACGAGCACCCTCTTAACGACCATTCCAGGAAGGCAAGGCCTTTAGCCCTGGACGACCTCCGGCGAGGATTGTCAAGACGGAGGAAGGGAGATGAGTCCGAGGAGGATTCAACCCTATCCACACGGCGCCCAGGAAATGGGGGGCCTATTGATGAACTCAAGGACTTCAGAAGACATCCCGTTGGGGAGGAAATTGATCTCAGAGCCCGGTTGAAATCCAGGAGAAAGAGTAAGGCTGTCCAGGATGAGGTCGAAGACGAGGTCATACAAACACCCTTTACCAGGGAGATCGGAGAGATGGAGGTTCCAAGAAAGTTCGTCGTGCCGAGGTTCAAAACTTATGACGGGCGGTCCGATCCCGAAGCCCATCTCAGGCAATACAAGCAAATGATGTCCCTGTATCATTCAGACCAACGGTTCCTCTGCCGAGTGTTTCCTATGAGCTTGGGGGACTCTGCGATGAAGTGGTTCGAGGCGCTTCCCCCAACAGCATTGGATCGTGGAAGGAATTGACGAGGCAGTTCCTGGCTCGATTCATTACGGGGAGTAAGCGGCCTAAAGACGTTGGATCATTGCTAACGCTCAGACGTAGGGAATCCGAGACCCTTCGCCAGTACGCCATCCGGTACTGGGAAGAGGTTAATGAGGTAGAAGGCTGCTCGGAAGTCATGGCTCGGCTTGGCAAGGGACACGGACCTGTACCGATCCCTGACCAAGAAGACTCCCTCGGATATGGGCGAGCTGATGGCCCGGATAAACAAGTACTCAAGGATCGAGGACGAGATGGGAAGCAGCAAAGGCCGAACCCTCCAATCTAAGAGAAAAGAGAGGGAGCGGGAGGATACTCCCCGAAAGGGACTGCTACCCCTCCAGGGGGGTCGTCCAAAGGAGTTCACACTATGTTCAAGGAACCCATCTTCAAGTTGCTCCATAAGATAAAGCATGAGCCATTCTTCAAGTGGCCGCCCAGGATGCAGAGCGATCCCTCCACCCGTGATCAAAAGGTTAGGTGTTCCTATCACCGGAATTTCGGACATCGCACCGAAAGCTGCAGGGTATACAAATCGTTCTTGGAAAGATTGGTCCGAGACGGATACTTGAAAGAATACATAGAGCCCAGGCCGGAAGAGAGACAAACCCCTGCCCCGACCGAGGAGCCGGACAACGTCATAGATGTCATCCATGTATGTCCGCTAGATCGCCCCACGTCCAAGGAACTCGAGTCCGATCTCAAGAGGGTAGCTTTTACAAGGAAGATAGCCGAGGATGATGGGGGGCCACCCAGTAAAAGGGCCAGGACTGGTGAGCCCAGCATCACGTTCTCCGACGCGGACTTGACAGGCGTGGTGACTCCTCATAACGACGCCCTTGTCTTAACCCTGAAGATAGGTAAGTTCGACGTCAAAAGGGTGTTGATAGACTCTGGAAGTTCCTCGGAAGTGATGTACTCTGAGACTTTAAAACGGATGGGTCTTGGCCTCAAGGACCTCACCAAGGTCAGGACACCCCTCATCGGATTCAACGGCTCGTTCGCCCTGCCCATAGGCAAAATCACATTGCCAGTTGTCACAGGTCCCTTCATCATCAACACCGAGTTTGTCGTGATTGATACGGACTCTCCCTACAATGTGATCATGGGACGAGCATGGCTGCATGCGTTGGGAGCGGTGCACTCCACTTATCACCAGAAACTAAAATTCGCCACGCCAGAGGGGATCATGGAGATCCGAGGGGACCAAGCGTCCGCAAAAAATATTTTTATTCAGCTGTTAGAGCCGGGGCTTTCACCCAAGAAAAGGGGCGAGCTCCGGAAGAGATCATGGAAAAATAGCAATCACAGTCCGGGCGTCCAGGAATGGATGACCCCCGGATTGACCCAACGGAACGGTCGGTGGAGGACCTCCGGAAGGTGCCCTTGGTGGAGGGAGAAGAAGAAAGATACTTCTTAGTTGGAACCGCGATGCCCGCAGCCGAACAGGAGGAGATGATTGAGTTCCTAAGGAGAAATGCAGACGTGTTCGCTTGGAACGCAATGAAAATGACGGGAGTAGACCCCGAGATAATCACGCACAAGCTGCATGTTGACCCGGCGCACAAGCCAGTAAAACAGAAGCCACGACGCATGGCCCCGCATCACGCCTGCGCGGTCAACGAAGAAATCGACAAACTCCTGAAGGCCAACGCCATTCGGGAGATACAGTTCCCAGAATGGCTGTCTAACACGGTTTGCGCGAAGAAGAAGGGGGAAAATGGCGTGTCTGCGTAGACTTCACAGATCTAAACAAGGCATGTCCCAAGGACGACTACCCCCTACCAAAGGTGGACCAGCTAGTGGATGCCACTGCCGGATATGAACGCATGGACTTCCTGGATGCCCGAGCAGGATATCACCAGATCCCTCTCCATCCCCCAGATCAGGAAAAAATGGCGTTTATCACTCCAAAGGGAGTTTACTGTTACAAAGTGATGTCGTTTGGACTAAAGAACGCCGGGGCGACATACCAAAGACTGATGAATCGGATGTTCAAAAAACAGATCGGCAACACCATGGAGGTCTACATTGACGATATGCTGGTGAAGAGCAAACGAAGCTGTGATCATCTGGCAGATTTGGCAGATACCTTCTCCACCCTCAGGGAGTACGGGCTGAAGCTGAACGCAGCAAAGTGCATTTTCGGAGTGGAATCGGGTAAATTTCTCGGATATCTGGTCAGTCAACGAGGAATCGAAGCTAACCCGGATCAGATTCAAGCGATCCTGGACATCCGGAGCCCCCGAACTGTCCGAGAAGTCCAAAAGCTCACGGGGATGCTGGCAGCACTTAACCGTTTCGTCTCACGCTCCTCAGACAAATGCAAACCCTTTTTCGGAGCCATCAAGAGTGCTGGGAAGGATATGTGGAGCCAGGGGTGCGAAGACGCCCTGGCTGGAATCAAGGAATACCTCAGGACTCTCCCGACCTTATCCGTCCCTATCCAGGGGAAAATGCTCTTCTTGTACTTATCCGTATCCGAATTTGCGGTAAGCGGGGTACTTATTCGTGAGCATGAGCACCGCCAGAAGCCGATTTATTACATAAGCAAGGCGCTCCTGGACGCGGAGACAAGATACCTGCCCCTAGAGAAACTGGCTCTATCCCTGGTCACCACTGCAAGAAAACTAAGGCATTATTTCCAGGCGCACCCAATTACCGTCCTTACCGATCAGCCCTTAAAGGCCATTTTGAGGAAAACGGAACTCTCCGGAAGGATTTCCAAGTGGGCAGTGGAGCTGGGGGAACACGACATTCATTTCAAACCTCGAACCGCTATAAAAGGTCAGGTATTGGCGGACTTCATAGCTGAGTTTTCAGGGAACATCCCGTTCTAGAAAGACCGCCTCCTACCGACATAGCGTCTCCAACGAATTGTGAGGGATCACCATGGCTTTTATGTGTGGACGGTTCGTCAAATAGTAAGG